CCACAAGGATCATCAGTGTTCATACAAGAAGCTCCTGGTTTGAATCTGCACTGATCCTAGCAGTGTTTTGGAACCTTAGCCTGGGAAGTGGTCCTTATGCACTCTTACAGGGCGCTGGATGGCAGCCAAAGTTAACATAGGTCCTCACTTGATGAAAGCCTCTTATTTGAACATGGTGACACACAGCAGACTCCTCTGTTAGGCAGGCGAAGGGCCAGATCGGATGCCATCCATCTCTCTCTTGGAAAGAGGACTCCCTTTTCCTCCCGCAGCTGCCGTATCACCATCCATCTCTTTACTCTTTCAACAAGCCAAATGATTACTGTTAAAACCATTAAAAAGGCAAGGAGAAGAGACATCCTTCTTCAGAACTTGCATCTCGGGTGCGCCATATGGACCGAGTTAAAATCACAGGTAGCTGAGCACATTCGACTCCCTCGCGTCAGAGTGGCACACCTCGCGTTTTGTAAGAGTGGCACTCAGATATTGCGTAGCCTGCTGGGTTGTTGCTAAGGAAGCCACTTCATGTGGCTCATTTACTTGTGTCAATTTAGTTTATGGATCTGCAATTCTGCATGGTATGTACAGACCACAGAATGCCACTTAATTTTTTTTAATTTAATTGTGTGTGTGTTTCTTGGAGGGGTGGGGAGATGGTTTGGAATACTATGGTCACATGCACACAATGCATTTAAAGCAACTTTTATACCACTTTAACAGTCCATGTCTTCCTCCAAAGTATCCTGGTAACTGCCATTTGTTAAGGATGCTGGGAACTGCACCTCTGGGAGGGGTCTCTTCTCAGCAACAGGCAGAACCCATATGGCGCAATGGTAATTTATCCGAGAGCCTCCAATTCATTTCAGATATTTTCATCTGGGGAAAGTGTTCCCAGCAGTTCAGAAGAGGGACAGCAGCAGCTCCTTTTAGCATTCCACAGCTGGTGGAGCCACATATCTGAGCGTGACTGAAAACTCACCGGCCGCTGCTCCATTCACAGAATTCAAGATAGGAGATGCAGCTGTGCCTCTTTCTTCACATAGTTGAAGAATTTCCTCTGGTCGTTGAAGGTGTTCAGAACATGTTGCGAACCATTCATTAAATTACAGTTACAGTTATCTTCTACAAGGGAACATAAGAAGAGCCCACTAGATCAACCAAATGACTCATCTAGTCCCTCTCCCTTCCTGCAGTTTCCAGCAACTAGTATTCAAAAGCATTACTGTCTCTGACAGGAGGCAAAGCACAGCTATCATGGCTACTAGCCATCTAGGGCCTTCTCGATGAATTCATCTAATCCTTTTTTTAAATTAATTGAAGTTAGCGGACATCACTGCCACCTGTGGGAGCAAGTTCCATAGTTTTAACTACCTGCTGTGTGAAGAAGCACGGTGATTTGAGGACTGACGGTTGAAGGTGCAAATGGACTCAATTGCTTGGAAAGCACCGAGTTAAAAGTTCTGGTTGTGGCACATTCCTTGTTCTGTTGCTGGCTGCACAGGATTCAGTCGATAACCTGTGTGGCAAAGGTCCTTTGGTTGCCACTGGAGGCTACAATCTCTCTCCCCATCCCCTTCCAGGTGGTCCAAGAAAGCTCAAAGAGGCAGCTGCTGGGAAGTCCAAAAAGCTGCCTTATGCTGAGTCAGACCCTTGGCTCACCTAGCTTAGTATTTTTGACAATGGCTGGCAGCAGATCTCCTGGGTTTCAGTCAGCCTTTCCCAGTCCTAGCTGAAGATGCCAGGGTTTGAACCTGGGACCCTGTGCAAGCAATGTATGAGCTACAGCCATTGAATCTGTGAATCTCGGGCACAGGTTTTTAATGTTGATGGACGTGCTTGTTCAGTGAATTCCTCTCTTGGCAGTGCGGTGATGCCTTTTTACAGTTTCACTGAGAGTCCTTTGCATTCTTGCATTAAGGCTTAGCTTTATGGGGGTGAAGCGGGCCCATTTTCCATGGCAATCCACCCCTCTATTTCCTCCACCCCACCTTGGTTGAATCACCATGTGGCACGAGGGGACCCTAAAGAACGCCAGCTTTTTAACGTGGGTGGCCCCAATCGGATGTCTACAGTTTTCCTTAGTGAACATGTTTAATGGTTTGGCTATATGTTATTTGAAGGTTGCTTACGTCTAATTCCAGGAAAACATATTAGAGTGTGTGTGTGTCCCTGAGCAGACTTCACTGCAAGTTTGTGTATATATTGCGCAGAGGATATGACTGACTTCAGCAGTTTTGCAAGTGTGTTTGTTAGCCATACACACATCATCTGACATCACATTATCATATTTTTTGGGGTGGGAATGTAGTGTTATTTCCTGAACCTCATTCCCACCCCAGTGTTTGGGATAAGAAGCCAGTTTTGTCCCCTTACCAACCATTCTCCTAGATTGCAGCCTGTTCCTTCTATCCCATTGGACACCGTAGGAGCCAGTGTGAATTAAACCACCCCCTATCTCCAAAATCCTCTCTCCTTTCATCTGCATAGCCATGCTCTGGCGTTGGGAAGGACTTTACAGCAGAAGTCCAGGGCAAAATCAGTAGGGGGTGGAAAAATATAGTAGGATTGGTTTACCGCGTTTTGAAGTAAATGAACACACATTACCAGCTTTAAAAAATGGGAGTGTAATAGGTTATGCTGAGACCCTATGCTATGTCAAGTTTAAGAGGTTCCATAGCATTACCCAAGAATTGTGTGTTTATTATTATAAGCTATTATATAAGCAATATATAAAAACTATTATTATTTTAAACTAATTATGTAAAACTTTAAATTTAGTATTAAAAAGGGGGGGGACTATTTAGAGGCCCCTGACAATCTGAGGACCTAAGCTGTAGTTTACTTAGCTCGTGTGTAAATCAGAGACAGTGTGATGCAGTGGTTAAAGTTCCAGGTCTAGGAGACCAGAGTTCAAATCCCCCTTTGGCCACAAAACTCACTGGGTGACCAGTCACTGCCTCCCAATCTAACCTACCTCACAGGGTTGTTGTGGGCATTAGGGCAAGAACCATTCACACCACTTTGAGCTCCTTGGGGAAAAAAGGCAGGATATAGATGCAATTGTTTTTTTAAACCACCCTGGGTGTCCTCATTGGACTATTGTCCAAAATCTAAAATTCCATAGTTGCGTCACTGCACTCTGAATCCTCCTTCTGATAGTAATTAGGGCAACAAAAATACTTTTGTAAATTGACTATCAATGATTATAGGCACCATGGCACCCAGTGTTAACATCTTAACAATAAATTCTCCTTGCGTCCCTCCTGATTGGGCAGTCAGAGGGTTCCAAACTCTTCTGGCTGTGAAGTTTTTTTGTTTTTTTGTTTTTTTGAGGGGTGGGCAGTAGACTTTGTGAGGAATGCCTCTTGGCTTACTTTCCTTGAATCTTTCTCAGGTCAGAGTTAAGGTTGCGCCATATGGATGTGATCTATAAAACCGAAAGAACCTCCCTTTGCGACATGGGTGGCTTTCTGACATGGTAACTTAGCAGAAAGGGTGCAGTATTTTAAGTCTACTTTGCCAAAATCAGCGTGAAGCTCTTTGCAAATGGAAAGAGATGCTCTGACAAACTTCCTGTGGCTTACCAAAAAGAAAAGAAAAGGGGGGAGGGGAGGAGCAGAAGCCCAGATTGGCAGATCCACCAAATCCTGGCAGTTCAGAAGGAAAATCCTGCATGGAGTGCAGGGACGACATGTGTGCCTGTGCCTGTGCCAGGTTCATTAATACGATCTCGTAGGGCTGGGTGTTTTAAGACTTCTCCCTCAAGGTCTCCATTCTTCATTGACTTACCTTCCGTAGAAGAACCCTCTGTCTCACTTGGGAAGCATTCTGGGGCATACCTCTGTCCTTTAGAGCAGTATTTCCCACCATGGACCACTTGAAAATTGCTGAGGGACTTTGGCAGACCAATTAATGATTTTTCTGCCTGTTCCAGGAATTGTAACGTGCTGTACTAGATGCTGTATGATTTTTAAATCCTATTTTTGCTTGCTTCTTTTATTTCTTATATACTGCACTTTATTGTATTAAAACTCAACTGCAGTAAATGGAATAAATTCAATTCAAGAAATAAAAGAAACAACGACAATGCAATTAAAAATAAATGTGAATATTCGACACAATGAATCTGCTGTCTCCCTTCTTAAATCACAAATCCATACTGAATGAAGCTGTAGTTTGGGAACCCCTGGTTCAGACTTTGCTCTTACTTTCTGTGAGTCAACAGTACAACCCTTAACACCGAACAGTACTTCGTTTCTGAGGAAGATCAGCAGTGTGTGGACAACCCGTCTTTCCAAGAAATTTGTCCTCCATCGTTGATTTTCTCATGGAGTGGGAAATTGCAAAGGGCTCCCCTGAGCACACTTTGGTAACCATAGCAAGGGTTGCCAACATGGACCCTGTGGACTCAGGTGTGCCCTAAGAGGCTTTTCCTGGCACCCATAGGGTCAGGTTGTATATCTGAGGCTGTATATCTGAGAGCATCCTTGAATCTGAATCATTAGCCAAGGAAACTCAGGCTTCCCAGATGGTACATCTGGATGGAAGCCGCTCAAACATCTGGTTGGATGTACTTTGTCTTTTGACAACCAAGAAATAATTAATGTGGAGTCAGCATGGTGGTCTTGACTAGGAAAGGCTGAAGTCGCTTGAGCTTAATATATAAGAGAGACCACCTCAGACCACCATGTTTCCTTCTGCCTGGGTCTTTGGAAATGCTACAGGAGCACAGGAAAAGTGCAGAATTTGACACTAGGGACACCATATCGGATGTCCTTTTTTAAAGCTTCTAGCCCTCATGGCTGCAGAGAGGTTTTGAAAGCGTGTGGGCAATGCCTTGAAACAAAAGCGAGAAGGTTGACAGAATTATTCCAATGGTGGTGGTGCTGTCCTTCTTGAGAGCTTAGGAACACAAATCAATGGTCCATCCATCTCTGTATTGTTTACACTGACTGGCAGCAGCTCTCTAGGGTTTATGGCAGAGGTCTCTCCTGTCCCAACCATGAGATGCCAGAGATTGAACCTTGGATCTTACGCACTCAAAGCAAATGCTCTACCACTGAGCTGTGGCCCTTTATTTCTCTGCATAGTCTCCTCCTCTGCCTCATGATGGACTACATTGTGTAGAATAAATTAAGTTGGGCAAATTTACTGAATGATTTATGCCAGGGTTAGATAATTTAGGTAGATATATGTATAATATATGTAAACCTCAAGTTTTCTGGGTGCAGAATGTTAATTCCCTTTATTTAAATGTGGAACCCATTTTGGTCTAGCTGTGTTCCACTACAGTCTCCAAGCTTTATCTTAAAAGACCGGTGCTTGTGGCACATCCAGTCAGACTCTGCTAAAGTCTAGGCTTCCCGGGACAGCTTGCTTTCAACATAGTAGATCAGACTGGGACAGCAGACAGTTAAACGGTCCCACTACTCCTGGGGTTGGCTGCCACACGCTTGCACGTGAGAGTGTGCGTGTGTGCGTCTGTTTTTGCAAGAGGAGAGGGGAGGAAATCAGGACTCTTCGGATCTGTGGAGAAAAGGTGGCCAAAATATTTTGGAGGCCAAATTCCAACAGTAAGAATGGTTTTCTTCTGCACAGTTGACAGCAATTTTGTGTGTTCCAAAAGTCACTGACAACTCACTTACCCTCTGCCCAGTAATTATGTAGCATTTGGAGGAGACTAAACGCAGTCGCAAAAAGAAAGAAAGAAAAGACTTAATTGCAGGCCTGGCTGTGGTGTGAAGCTCAACACAACTTGGGAAATAAATCACATCTTCCATAACGCTTTCTGCTTCTGCAGCTTTCACTTTTTGCTATGGAATGCCCCAAATCCCTAACGGAAGAGAGTCTCACGCTAGAACTTTGCACAGTACATACCCTTCCTAACCCCTCACTTTAAGTGAAGCTTGAAAATGTGCATCTTATGACCCCATGACTCCATTGAAAAGAAGAAAGAGAAAAGCACAAGTTAGACCTTCAGGCTCTAAGGCTTCAGGCCTAATCCCTCTTACTTGCGAGTAAGCCCTATTCAGTTCAATAGGACTTACGTCTCATTAGACATGGTTAGAGGCCTGTGCTACGAATCAATTTCATCGGTGTCTTGCTATGTTGTGAACTGCCCTGAGATCTACAAATGAATGGGGTGTATTATTATAAATAATAATAATAATAATAATTAATAATGAGAGGCTGTAATCTTATGCACTCTTACTTGGGAGTAAACTCCAGTAACATAATGGGACTTGCTTCCAAGCAAATGTGCATTGCATTGCATTGTTAAATCAGCATATACACCCTGCCCCAGCATTGCACCAATGAATTTTTTTTTTTTTAAAAAAGGAGACTTTGATTCTTATTCAAAGAATAAAATTTAGTCCTGGCCTCTCTATATTGCTCTGACCGCTGTATGTAAAATGGAAGTGAGATGATAGGGTCGGGAGAAGGGGGTCGGGATGGGGGATTTAACTCACTTCACATTTAAAGGCGAGTCTACCTAATTTGCAGTTTCTGACAATAATAATAAAAATTGCAGTTTCTGAAACTACCTGAAATGAAACAAAGTTGTGCTTCAAAATTCATACTTCTCAAATTTCACAGCGTGGTTCTCCAGCCAAGTAATGTGTACAAAAATGCATTGTATTGGGGGAAAATTGTTTTGGGAAAAAAATGTGTATGTTGGGCAAAATTGCACACAAAAATGTCGGTATTAGCAGAAATGTGCATGATTAAAATGCCGATCAATTTTCATTTAAAAAATATGCAGACTGATGTGGAAATGTGGAGACGTAAATTCAAGATGGGGAAAATGAGAAACGGAGAGAAACTGACAATGGCAGATTATCCCATTGTGTGTGTGTGTGTGTGTGTCTGTGTCTGTGTCTGTGTCTGTGTAAGTAAGTAAGTAAGTAAGTAAGTAATTTATTTCAATGTGTTTCATTTGCACACAATGCAGGCTATGAACTTCTTTCTTGGTGTCCGTTCAGATCAGATCCAAAAGTATTTGTTTTGACCACAGGTCATAAAAAATTAACCCCCTGTTCTGAGTGTCTCTGACTCCCCTTGTTTCCTTTCTTCCAGGTATGCTACTGGTTACGACAGACACGCTGGGCCACGATTTCCATGTTTTCCAAATTCTGACCCACCCCTGGTCGTCTTCGCAAAGTGCCGTCCATCACTTGTACACGTTACATCGCGGGGAGACCGAAGCCAAAGTAAGTTACATAAGAAACCACAAGGCTTTTTATCTGACTTGGCAATTGGAGGAATCAATGTGGGTGTCCTTGGAAATTGCTTGTCTTGCAGTCAAGTCAGAGGAAGGCCATTTAAGATGGATTCTTGTGTTTTTCTAACAGATTTGTGAGTGTGTGTGTTTAACAAGATGATAAAATGCGGCTGCATTTCCACTCTCAAGTCCCACAAACCAACAGTTTTTCAAAGTATGAGCATTGGGTTTGGTGGGTCAGTGTTAAGAACGGGAGGGAAATTAGATCCAGCTTGCATTTAAAAGCGAACCTACCTCATTCACACTTTGTGAAACAATATGCAAGCCGAACCAATGTCATCCTTTGAAATTTACTCTTCTCTGAATTTTGCAATGCAGTTCGCCAGTTAAGTAATACATGCAAATAATAATAATAATCCCAAAAAAGTACTAGGGTAAAGGTTACATTTAAATGTATATATTAGTGAAAATAGCATACAAAAGTCCATTATATTAGGGGAAATTGCTATGCAGAAATGTGTATGTTAGGAGAAGTCTGCACTAAAATGCTGATGAATTTTAATTTTTTAAAAAATTTGCTTACTGACGTGGAAATGTGGAGAACCGGATTTAAGATGGGAAAAAAAGAAAGAAAAACAGAAGCCAAAATTGTCCATCCACACTGTAACATGACTGTAATGTCAAACAAGCAAACTCTAATGGCAACAGGTTAGTTTAGAAGATGCTGGTGTTTTGGTGCCTCTTTTCTCAGCTGGCCTGATCTCAGAATGCTTGTCCAATGAAGCAATGATTGCCTTGGCACTTCTGGAATGGTACATACCTCTTGGGGAACAGATTATTGCCACCTTTGCAAAGAGCGCCCTTTTAAAATTATCCAGAGAAACCAATGGATGGTATTGAAATTGTTTTTTGGCTTATTGCTACTATTGTAGGTTGAAATCCTATTACATCATGGGCAGCCAATGTGGTGCCCTCTAGTTAATAATTTTGAATAGACCAGGGATAGCCAGTGTGGTACCTCCAGATGCTTAGATGGACTACAGCTCCCATCAGCCCCAGGCAGCATGGCCAATGATCAGGGATGATGGGAGTTGTAGTCCAATATCTGATCTACTCAAATTTTTGAATTTGATCGCCGTGAGAGAGGGAAAGCAGCACAACCACCTATTTATTAGGAAATGGTGTTTCTTTAATTCAATATTGGAATAAAGCTTATGACATAGTTCAACCTTATTCAGTCATAGGCATTATTTGAACGATAGGTATATATGCATTTAGTTTCTCTTTAAGACAATTGGATTTAATTTTAGGTAGCTGAAAATTCTCATGGATACAATGGCTTGTAACTGTACTAATTAATGAAACTATTAATTATCAGTTGTCATGGTAGTTGTTACTTTCTTTTTTATCTGATATGATATGGCAAATAAAGAGTATGACATAATTTCACAATTCATTAACAATAAGAAAAATTGCTAGAACCAGCAGCAAATTTAAACAGATAGAAGCTAGCAATAGGTCAATCAAAGGAGTGGAAAAATGAAAAATTAATCCATCTTTATTGCAGTCAAAGACCAGAACAGAAAGGAGTGGAAAAATGGAAAGGTCTTTAGGGCTTGTTTAAAACTATGAAATGAGGGAGACAAATCATGTTTTCAGGGGAGTTACAGACGTTTGGCCACCACTGAACCTGGTAGTCACCAACCTCACTTTTTTCATGCCACAGAGAGCAGGCCTTCTGAGGCCAATCATAGGGCCTTGGGAGACTCATAAAGGTGTTGACATTCCTACAAATACGCTGTTGCAAACAGTTCAGAGCTTTTGAAGGTTAAAGCCAGTACGCTGAGCTTGGGATCAGTATTACTGATGCAGAAACAGGCTGGCAGCTTTGTTCTGCACCATCTGAAGGTTGTAGACTGTCTTCAGGCAGAGCTCTGTCTAGAGGAAATTACAGTAGTTTTGGTCCGGAAGCACCTAGTTTGAGCTGGAGAACCAGGCATAAGTGAAGTCCTGCTGGATCAGGACAAAGGCCCATCTAATCCTGCATCCTTTTCTCACACTGGCCAACCAGATGCTCTAGGGAGAAGACATCAGGCGGGACTTGAGCGCAACAGCACCCTCCCCGCTTCTGATTCCCAGCAACTGGTGTTCAAAGGTATACTGCCTGTGAAAGGGAAGGTAGAGAAAGCTGGTCCTCTAGCTACATATGCCACCTGCATCTTCAGAGATAGGGCTAGGGCCAGGAGAATGCCCAGTGGGCATCCCTAACCTATTAATTGCCAATTAATTGCAAACTTTTGTTGTTTAGTCGTTTAGTTGTGTCCGACTCCTCGTGACCCCATGGACCAGAGCACTCCAGGCACTCCTGTCTTCCACTGCCTCCCGCAGTTTGGTCAAACTCATGCTGGTAGCTTCGAGAACACTGTCCAACCATCTTGTCCTCTGTCATCCCCTTCTCCTTGTGCCCTCCATCTTTCCCAACATCAGGGTCTTTTCCAGGGAGTCTTCTCTTCTCATGAGATGGCCAAAGTATTGAAGGATCTGTCCTTCCAAATTGCAAACTAAGTCTGTGGTTTTCCAAGCAACCAACCAACAACACTGTCTTATCTGGATTAAGTTTCAGCTTGTTCAACCACCCTAAAACTGCTTCCAGCCACCTCTTTAATAGTTTTTTTTTTTATCACCCCTCTGGATTGCCAAATGAAGACAGGAGGTGGAGCTATGTGTCACACACATACTGGTGGTACCTGTGCTCAAACCCCCAGATATTTTCTGGAAAAATACATTGGGTACCATGAGGGAACCATGTTAACTTTCTCCCAAAATTAATCCTGGCCAGTCATCT